CGCGCCTCGCCGCCCGCGTGCAGCTGCGTCACCTCCATCTCCAGCTCCACCGAGCTCACCCTGCGCAACCCCCACCACAACTTAATTCATCTTAAGATAGTATTATAAACCCGTAGGTTTAATAAATAAGTGGCACGACTCTACCTACCTCTTGGTGTGTGTGAGGTGTAGCACAGGCGGATGCAATACGAAGCGCAGCGGAACCACCTCCCACCACACCTCCAGCTGCGTCACCAGCACCTCGCACACCGTGCGTGACCACGCCTGCGCCGCGCGAATTTTTAGCATATTCATTACTGAAGTAGCACTTACATTACATCTCTAACACTTCTACATGTCTGAGAAAGCGTCCTAGGGAAGCATTAAACCAATATGTTTGTAACTGTTACCTCACAAAGGCCAGGAATTTCCTCTTCCTCTACTGTTTTGGTGCTAAGTATGATGTTGTCATATTCTGGTCCTAAACTTTCCCGAGGGATATCGGTCAAAATGAGCCTACAAAGATAATATACATACGAACATTATTAATTTGTTGTATGAACCTTTCACATAATTATAAATAATGTCATGAAAAACTTACACCATTTTAACCTAATTAACTCTAAACTAGTCTACGGAAAGTTAATAATAATATTTCACTTAGGTGTAGCAATCTTGTTACCTATGTATAATCAATCATAATAATGATATAATTCTAGTAGATATGTGTGTGTTGCGTGCGGTACCGACATGAGCGCGAGGCGGTGCAGGCCGCAGTCGGCGCCGGCGCGCGGGGCGCACACGTGCACCGCGCTCACGCCGCGCGCGCCCGCCACGCCGCGCACCGGCTCCACGCGGATACTGCCCACGGACTCCGTGTGCAGAGACGTCACATCGCTCTGCACAAACAAAAAACATATCCTTGTATATCTTAAACTCCGAGTGTCACCTTAAATATCGTTACTGTTATATCTAAGCCTGAACCATCGTTAGCCATTCTGCAATAATGCAAAAACATTAGCAATCAATATTAAAAAATATAGATATATGGAGACTCGATAAAATTTCTCGAGGTAAGCAGAGTTACCTCAGTGACTTCTGAAAAAAATTCAGAATGCTGTTTCTCTGCCAAAAGCAACGTCTTGTCCCAAGGTCGGACGCTCCAGTAGTACGAGTACGGCACTGCGCTGTGGGAAGTTACGCACCATAAGCACGGGCAAAAGCAAAAATTGGTAAATAAGACATAAAGAGACGCTAGACCAAAGTACAACACAAAATAAAAAAAAAATAACAAAATGAAAACCTCTTTTTTGCTATCATATTATACATTTACAGATACAGTGTTTAGTACAGTAGTTTTGTTTAAAAAAATATAAAAAAGTGGAAGCGCGGATGAACCTGTGATTGAGCAGGTGCACAGTGGCAGCGAGCGGGCGCTCGGGGAAGGCGCTGCCGAGGTGCACGTAATAGGGGCACGCGGGGTCCCCCTCCAGCATGATGTCGTACTCCTTCTCAGGAGTCTATTGTATAATAATATTAGGTTCAGATTTTTAAGACTATTCCATTTTTAAGAGTCTATTTTTATACTTATTTACGATTACAACTTTTATTAACGCCCTGTTTATAGTTGAAATTATAAGTTTATCTGTACAGATAAATGAGCGTTTATAAAACGTGATTTGAGATATAACTCTGCCTCGCTTATAGAATTAATATTACTGCAGAGTCATTTTATACTTGAAGCGTGATGTGGTCGGTGTTGAACATAATAGAGTCGGCGATGATGGTGAGTGGGCGCACTACGGCCGTGGAGCAGAGCAGGCGTAGCGCGGCCGAGCGCAGGCCCGGCGTGGGCGCGCGGTGCGCCACCAGCCCGCCGCTCGCACTGCCCGCCCAGTAAACCGGACCGACGCTGAACGCGCCCGACACCACGTAGCCCGTTCGTATCGCCTCCTCCTGGAAACGATTTTTCCTTTACATTTGTCATGTATTGGCAACAATATAATACTTTCAAGGAATAGTACCGATTCAACTTTAGTGATCAAAGACCGCCAGTCGTATGATTGAGTGTTGAACTAACGTCGAGGGTGAAGGCGCACCAGGCGTCCTCGGTCATGACGTAGAAGGCGGCATGATGCGCAGCGCAGGCCAGGCGCAGCGGCACGCGGTGCGGCGCGCCCGCCAGCCGCGCGCCCAGGTCCAGCACGGGGCTGCGCGCTGGCGGCGCTGCGTGCGCGCCCAGCCCGCCCCACGCCTCGCCCAACTCCGCCCGCGGAACTATCACTGTTCATACACTGTGTTTATTAACTATTTATATTGCATTACATTTTTTTGTTATTTATAGAGAGGGGGATATTTATCTTTAAACAGCACCTCGCATTAGTTGGTAGATAGCAACAGGGGCATCATAAAATGACCTTACTAATAGTTTACACCGAAAAAGTATTGAAACACATATACGTTCTTCTTCATCTGTCACATGTATTATTCAGTGTTGATTATTAAGATTGTATTGAGGTGAGGCCCGACCGTCGAGTAGCGGCGGCTCCAGGTAGCAGAGCACGAGCACGGCCGCGGGCGCGCCCCGCGTCGCGCGTACCAGCACCTCGTCGCGGAACGCGCGCACGTCTCTGTGGGGGACAGTGCGCTACTTGCTCACTTCTCTCTCTCACAACTCAATCATAGTCGACTGCTCACTTTTAAAAGGAATTATTTTCCACCTCGAAAGAAAAGAACTGAAAAATCAATGTACCGTAATATACACCACTATCACCGTGATATACATACACACCTAGTGCGTGCGTCACATCACTACAACCTTTTCTTTAGGTTACATCTTAGACATCAGATTATTTCCACTATTAATTTAATATTTTGTAATATTAAACAAGTGATTTTAAAAATTAAGAATCTCGTATTACTGAATGGTGAAGTTGTAAAGTAATGACGACGTCTAAATAAGAGTAATACTTGTATAACATTGTGCTAACCTGGGCTTGAAATGCACTCGCAGGTGGAGCGCGGCGCCCGAGGAGAGCGCGAGGCCGCGGGAGAGCCCCACCGGCAGCGCCAGCCGCAGGGCGGGGCTCGCGGGCGGCCGCAGCGCGAGGCGCACCGCGTGCCGCGACGTGTTCACCACGCGCACGCTTTGCTGCCCGCATACGAACAAAATACACTCTGCACACACGCTAACCACCCCTACTAGATACATACCGGGTACATCAAACCACCGCCAATATACAAATACTGTAGTTTTATCATTTTTATTTTTATCACCAAGCAACTTAATTCCGCAGCCAGACAAGAAAGAAAATAATTGATTGTTAAAGACCTAACAGTAGTAACACAGCTAAACCTACTCTAATTTTTCTATTACGGTAATAAACACCACCATGATTGCAAATTCAAGACGATTTACCACATGATCGTGTCCCACTGTGAAGTTCACAAAATAGAGTGTTGCGGGCTCGCAGACGACGCAGCAGGGCGGCGGGCGCGAGGCACGCGGCGGGCGCGGAGGGCGCGGGGGGCGTGGCGCCGCCGGCAAGGAGCCCGTCGTCTCGTCGCACCTGCAGACACACACATACTTGGTTATCGACAAACACGCAATATACAGCAAGCATAAGTCATAGATAGATATAATTCGCAGTTTGTATTATTCCCATTGATATCATCATTGATAGGTCAAAGTTTTGGAAGCGTTATAGGGATAAAGTGCGAACATCACAAAGCAAATAGTTGCAGCTTCATATTATCTAATTGGAATATACAATATTAACTTCACAAGTTAATAATAAAGCCTGAGCAGCGGGTTCGGTGCACCGATCTTACTTTAAACGAGCCTTCAACACTCTCAGTAATCATCGATACAAAGACCACCTCCTCCACAACAGACGTCATACTGAAAGTAAGATAGCGCCTCGACCCCACTCAAGGCAGCAGAGGACGTTACTGCTGTCTATGGTATTTCCGTAAAATAACAACAACTCTTTATTATTTTATCAAAATTTATCTGGAACAAAATGATGTAAGACCGGTATCGGTTAAGCCGAGCTTCCCCCTTTTGCCATCTGTTACTAATTTTCATAAATGTTTCTTATTTGTGTAACACTATACTTTTTTTGGATGGCGATAAAAATGTTTTTATTTATTACTAAAATCGACGGATGAAAGGCTATTTGTTTCAACCGTCATTTTAGGCGATATTGACTTATCTATATAATATTCAGAATCAGCGAATTTTAAATATAAAATAAATAATGAAGTACGAGTATGCCGAATTATAGTCATTTTAATCTAGAACCTGTCTGAAAATTTTTCAATTGAAATTATTTTTTTTCTAAAAATGGAAACTTTAAATGGCTCTCCTGAACATTTAACTTAATGGCGCTTAAAACAAATAGCCTTTCACCTCGAAATGATATTAAATAAAATTAGGAATTGTAAAAGTAAGTACATAGATTATAAACAAATAATATTGCATGTTCAATATCTTAATATCAGTTCATTTGACTTATACATTCCTCCAAAATTCATATTAATACTTTTCATAAGGCGATGCAAGGTGATATCTGAGAGCCTAAGAGTATTAATTTACACAAAAGAAAAATTTAACTGTTAATTGTTACAAAATGTGTCAAACATTCAATCAATGATAATGACAAAATAAGAGTGATAAATAGAAAATACCTTACGGATTGGATTGATAAATCTTTGGGAGACAAGACATCATCATCTGGTGGTAAATTTAAATCTTCGGACTGGGTTACGTCGGCGCAAGTGTCGCCGGAATTCGTCGACATCAGCCAATGACATTGCAGCCCTGGAATTTATATAATACTAGCTTTCACCCACGATTCTGTCTGCGCGGAGTTAAAAAAACAAACACAAAAGTAGGCCTACTATGTGTTCTTCCAGACTATCCTCTACATTTATGCCAAATTTTATCGAGATCTGTTTAGCCTTTAAAGCTAAAAAAACTAACAAACAACCATCCATCTAAACTTCCGCATTTATAGTATTAATAAGATGTAACAATGCTAGATAAACGCACAGGAGCCCGAGCAAGCGAGAAGAGAATATAGCAAAGCCCCGAATGCACGTAATGTTTTCGGAGAATAAGAAGAGAAACGGATAAGGAAACTTACGATCGGTATTTTCTAAAGTTGTCGGCATCAAATCTTGTCTCCGTATCATCGTTATTTCTGCATCCTCGGGTGTAAGTGCGCAGAGCAGCGGCGGCGACGGGCCGCAGTACGACAGCTCGTAATCTGCGGCGCGCGCCCTGTGACTCATCTGCTTGCCGTACTCACTTCTCAATGTATCTTCATGATTTCTAATTTCCGTTATTTGTAATGAATTTACTGGTAACTGAAAGTAAAACGTTCACACCGATTTTTGTTCTTTACAGCTGTAAACGATGCAAGTAGAGATAAGGTAGGAGTAGGTAGACCGTTAAGAGTGAATGAGTGTAACAAAACATCAATATGAACCTTTTGGGGAATCTGCTTTTCGGTGTCGTTCCCCTGTGCGCTCCGGTGTTGTGCAGACTCGTGCGACGGCGGCGGCGGCTGGTGGCGGAACACCTCCGACAGAAGTGGCCGCACGTCGCCGCACGCCTCCCTGCACACACACACACAAACATCATGTCCGATATTGACCAGACATTTACGTCAGTGTTCACGTGTCACACCACATCGTCCACCGTGCACTTCACATCAACACTATATCACACCTTGCAAGTTTTACATAACCAGTAGCTAAAACATCTGCCAAATAGATGCATATCCAGACTATCCTCTACATTTATACCAAATTTCATCAAAATACCTTTAGTCGTTAAGGCTACAAACGCTAACAAACATCCATCTATCCATCCATATAAACGTTTGCATCTAAATAGTGTATCTACGTAGCGCATTGTAACAAGTTAAATTTGTCAGGTATGTGTCTTATAACTTACGTTTTTTTTGGTAACAAGGGCGGCTTGTGAGACATCGTGAACATTACATGCGATCATGCAAACAACCAAATACACCGATATACAATAAAACGTAGTGATGTAGTGATTGTATTCTCTTTGCACTAATGAACAACAAACTATCTGTCACTGTCTAATGTGACAAATGTCATGATCGCCATAAACCATATACACATTTCGAACCGGCATCCATGCCAGTTACATATTGAATTATTTGTGACTTTAAGCATTTGTAACACAGTAAAAATGTTTGTGTACGATATCTAGAGGCCATCGTGACCTTCGTATTTCTCCCGCCTTTGTCTTACTCTCGTTTCATTTTGATGTTCAGCAATAAGCCCAGCCGAGTATTAAATTAAATATTTTGATATTTACAGCTCGGAAAAAAGAGATCGCTGACTGTAAGCTCTTTGTAAACAAAATGGATTTAGAAGGAAATTCGCAATACCTCGAGAAACAAAGACGTTTTTTTTTTAACCTTTTACATTTTTTTTTACTTATAATCAACACTGTAACACAACAACACGTGGTGCAAGAGAATTATATTCATGTAAAGATACAAGATGATGTTACTGTAGCGATCTATTTCTTTATTTAATGCTTACAACATGTTTAAAATTTCAATTAATACATTATATGTAAATTGGGAAAGGGCGTCGGCAGCGTAACTGTCACACGGAGATACGTCACCAGCGCTACTTTGTGAATACATAAATTATCATTTTGCAATAAACTCATTATTTATTGTATAGTAAGAGTATATGTACTTCAGAATTTTAATGTAAATACGAAGGAAGCATATTTTATGCCAATTTCTTGAGAGACCAGAGGGTTTTTGAAGAAACAAAAAATGCAAACGACCGGAAGGTCTCAGGGCCGAGGGCAGAGGGCGCAACCCCCCATCCCCCGGTCAATTTAACATAGTAACAATAGCTTATTGTGGGGCAGACCGCAGGGCACACACTTTAAGTAAATAATATTCTTGTTCACAAACAAGCATCATTTCTCCGCATGATTAAACTTTCTTGTTCATAGAACTTATGAATTTAGATGGCAGTGAATTTCAAAGTGGCAACAAGTATTTATAAGTGTTATTAAAATTAAGCACATGTTGAACATGCAATCCTACCACGAGATGACAAATTAATGAAAGGCCGTAGTGCTAATAACAGCAGTCGATGGCCTCAGACGGATCTGATCAGATCATCTGAACACAAAACACGGCGGCGACTCCAAAGATATCTGCAGCAATACGTATTTTCTTCCGCGTCATAACATATTGATTGAAGGCGCGCCGCCGCCGAACACTAGGTATCGTTGTCTCATCTAATTTAAATAGAGTGAGCAAGATGTCCATGTCTTCTTGTTCTTCTGATATGCTATCAGCTCAACTGCTAAGGTACGGACTCTTAAGCCAGGGATGTGGGTTTGAAGGTTTAGTACAAGCATCGAGCTTATTTAAAACGGTAACGTAAAGTATGAGATAATAAAGAAATTTCAATAATCTGCTAATATTTTATTATGTATTGAAAATATTGAACATTGTCCACAGTTGGGGATGAGCAATTGAAGGTGGAATTAATATAATAGTAATGAGTGTGAGTAGCGATGGCAAGTACGGCCGTGGTGTGCGCGGTGTGGCGTTGCGTACACCACAGTATGTAGCAAGCACTTTATCACATTCAAATATTTCTCGTATCCATTGTAGTCATTAAACTGATGTTTCTAATTCCATTAGCAGTTGCCTTCATGACTCGAAGACATCGAAATCCGCGGCGTCTGAGAGTTACATTATTTTAATTAGCTTGTTACTAACTTGTTCTCAGTAATTAGCAGTATTAATTAAGTAATGCGAACGGCTTGAGTTAGATAACTTTGTGATGTCGTGTTACAAGTCACTTAGAAACGAGGGGAAAAAGTAAACCTTTTGTTATTTTGAATTTGAAAAAGGGTCGAATGAAATCTTACACCCTTAAATTACGTTTCGTAACTTTGCGCACATAATTTACAATCAAATGTTGTTTTAAGGTAAGCAGAATAAAGGAGGCCATACACGGCAGCGTTTGTAGGAAAGTATTAAATTTACCAAAGCAGTGTATGAGATCGTATGTTATACTTTTTTTAAACAAAATAGTATTATACAACTGACGCCTTATTAAGCATTCACAACAATAATTTGACGTGTACTGACTGAATAACTGAAAACTGTTTAGAGTTTTGTTAACCTGGAAGTATATATACTTTTACTCAAATGAAACATAGTTATATTTAAGAAGAACATCGAAACTGTTTTCAAGGTATTTAGGTCGAAATCCAATTAGTATCTAAACTGTTCGTCGCATATCTAATTCCTATCTTCTAAAATATGTCACCTAATTAACTTAGGCTTTGTACGATTGTATACTTTGTGTTTATGTAAGTTAAATATTTTTTAAAAACAATATAGAAGCAATTAGAAAGAAAAATAACGAAGAAAGAAAATTTTAATTAAATACCGTTTTTTTTAATTAACCTTTCAGCGAATAAAAACCTTTAAAGACTCTTTCTCGAACAAAATACTTTACATCAAAGGAAATATAATGAAAAAAGCTCAATAGTTAGCAA